AATTAATATATATGTGACACTTTAATTTTAATTGCTGGTTCAGTGTAAGAAATCTCTCTTTTTGAATGCTCAGTTTTTACGGCCGTCCAACACTCTCTGCGTTCGGGCGTGATTCTCTCTCTCTCACAACACGTGCCTACCCCTTAAGTACTCTGCCGAGCCCCATGGGACAAGCCCATAACCCTTTGMTACATATAAAACAATATATCAATAAACGAAGCAAAGTTAAGATCACATTGTTGTGATTACCTGTTCCCCGAAGTGAAGTTTGAGACTGCCGAAGGAGATTTTGAGCTCCATTTCTGGGTTTTTCTGTTCCCTTATTAAATCACGACTGGCACTAGTCTTGTTTAATAAGCCAAGAAAAGGCAAAGCAATCGGAATTTAAACCACATAAAATATTTTTTAGAAATATTTTTTAGAAATACAAATTTGCCTAGTTCTAGACACAAAGTAGTTTGAAGCCAATGTATTCACCTTCGAAAGCACAGAGAACGAGCACATGGWCAGRCCAAATCGATTTTTCCTCGTAAATTTCACTCGTCGGAATTTCGTAGACGATTTCGTACAGGCTCGTTATACGAAATTACTTCGATTTGGCTGAAATTACTTAGATTTGGTTTAATACAGACAGYCACTCACCCAAGCCGATAAAATAGTGACGAGAGGCCTTCCCTTTTTTTAAGAAATAGTGCGGGTTTTTTTTTTGTCTGTTGCTCAGTCCAGCTGTTGGCCCAACTGAAAAATGATGGATGAAAAAAAAACCTGAATTGAATGTCGACAGCCTCACGAGAACCCTCGATTACCTGAATCAAATCCGAAAAACTRAGCAGACATCAATTTGGAAGGGATTACAAGGAACAAGAACGCTGTACCTTTTTAATTTCACTCTTGGACGAACTAAATTGCACGAACTACTATTACGTGCAAACAATGCTCATTTCAAATGCTCTATTATCCGTCATTGTGGATAATGCTGGTGGAAGTTGAATGGGAAAACAAAATATTATAAAAACAATTTTAGTATCCGAAATAATCAAGGTCAAGGCAAGTTTGATCAACCGAGGCCGAGGCCCAACAAAGTTACCAACGGTTTACATTCTATACACATTCCGTGGTAAGTAACAAACTATCATAAATTTGTTTCAAACAAATTTGTTACAAACAAATTTACCACAATTTACCACAAAAAAATATTCTATAACAATCCCAGAAAAAAAGGAATTATTTTGTGACCACTGTGTGTACTTTTATTGGCCACGGCTCTTGACCAATCAGAAATCGAGAAAATCCACAGATTTGGTAAAGTTAATTTTATCCCATTTTTTCTTGTATATAGTGGTACATCTACATGTACATTGTGCGTGTGTTCCTGTAATATTTCATAGATCAATATGCATGATGTACGACTCGGTAATATTGCTACAAATTTCGATGCAGGTACACAAATTAATCCTTAATCAATATTTTGAGGTAAAACATTGTACCATGTGGAAAAGTTGATATTTAAGAGACAAGTCGAGGTCAAGCCGGATCTCAAGGAGTCCAGGACCAGAGGCTCTACCATAGGCTACCCAACTATTGCTTGAGAGAAAGAAAAGAATGAATGCGCACGCTTTTTTTTATGTTATCGAATCGGCGTGCGCTGTGGGTTACCTGTNAAGATCTCTAGTTTCAACTAGTCCCTCATTCAAGAAAGCTTGCTTTAACTGCATATGGGCATAAATTTAAGTCTTATAAGCTTAAACTCAAGTAAAAATCCACGTAAGTTATGAACTTTTCTGCTCCATTTTTCGAGTTTTTGAAATGAGCAAGAGTCTTCAATAAGATCTTTGCCTTTAAAATAATTGTTCCTCACAATGTACTGTCTCATCTTTTGCATGAAGTCTCAAAGTTTCAGGATATTGGCATAAAGCTTCCCATCAAAAACTGAAAATCAGCGTAAGACCAACCAAGTAATTCAGGACACGAATCGGACACGAGCGAATGCACGGTAGCGGATGACCCTCGGAAAAATCTCGACTGTTTACGAAAGGCCTCGAAGTCTTCCCGAATGAAAAAAGGTAGGGAGGGGAGGACACGATACCTGGTGCACACATCGGTCCACGGCGAGTAAAATGCTTAATTTTCATTTTCTCGTCATGTAATAAACATTTCACGCTGAAAATCGTGAGACAGTTAGGGAATCTGGCGATGTGTAGTTATTTGAAAGAAARTCGTCGTTTTCTGYTGATTTTCGGTGAAATATGAGCAAAATTATATTTGTCACGTGACCAGTGTTTCATACCTTGTCACAGACTAGTTTGTATCCCGCGAGGCGCGCGATAGTGACGTAATACCACAGGTAATACCACAGGTAACCCACAGCGCACGCCGATTCGATAACATAATACAAAAGCGTGCGCATTCATTCTTTTCTTTCTCTCAAGCAATAGTTGGGTAGCCTATGGCTCTACATGGATTGGGTAGAGTCGGTCTGGACAACCTGGGAATATATGTTTTAACCTGCTATATATTTTTTAACAAAGCTTAATGCTTTTGATAGAGTAGTGCTTTTCACATGAAAGTATGTACTAGAATTTTATTCAAGATTTATTCAAGAATAGAAAAGCAAAGCAAAGACCTGCAATAAATTTTTAATCATATTGCTCTTGAAATACTTTCGTTCGCTACATTGATTATATAGTAAAGTATATTCAAAAATGATTGTTCAGCAAAAGGTGTAAAATTAAAGTAAATGCGAACTTCAATGCGTTCACCTCCATCGACTACATAATTTTCCTTTCTTGTCCGCTCTTGAAGTAGATCAACAAGGACMAATCAGGTGCCGTGTAATATGTGCGCGCGTTRTGATTGGTTGTCTAAAAATAGATTATCGGAACATCTGATGGTGTCGATATTATTGAGGAGATGGACACTTCTGGTTATGTACTTCTGCTGTAATTTTATCATGCCAAAAACATTATAAATTGCGGGATCGATCACAATCCTGTTTATAAWRSRCTTTTYGMCCAATTTTGGCATGTTCAGTAAAAACTCATGCCACATTCTCCCAACTCTTCGATTTCCATATCAAATTTTACTTTCCAACCAGTTTGTGGACAACCTGGGAATATATGTTTTAACCTGCTATATATTGTTTTAACAAAGCTTAAAGCTTTTGATAGATTGGTGCTTTTCACATGAAAGTATGTACTAGCATTTTATTTAGGATTTATTCAAGAATGGAAAAGCATTTCATGCAAATCAGAATGCATGTGGTTCTTTTGACAGACATTAACTCACATAGAGAATATTTAAGGGCCATCATGCATACATTATCAATTCGAAAGTAAAAACACTGTCATTAAAGAACTAAATGATTTCCTTAAAAAAAAACACACAACTACCTTGTCCATAGACACATTCTGAAAAAAAATCATCCAGTGCGAGGATATCTCAATAAAAACAATTCAACAATAATAGTGTTTTTTCAATTTACCAAGACAGTCCGAGCTGTTGGCGTAAAAACGATGGGTCAAAAAAAACATGAATGGAGAGATCGACAATATCATGAGAACCMTCGATTACCTACGAACAAAGCGCTGTACCTTTATAGTTTCGCTCTTGAAATTGGACGAACTGCTATAAGTTGCAAACAACGCTCATTTCAAATGCTTTATTATCCGTCGTTGTGGATAATGCTGGTGGAAGTTGAATGGAAAACAAACAATTACAAAAACCATTTTAGATATCCGAAATAATCAAGGTCAAGGCAAAGTTTGATCAACCGAGTTCGAGGCCCAATAAAGTTTCCAGCGTTACCATTCCATGCACATTCCAGTGGCAAAATGCACTGCACTGAAGAAGATCGCAGTTGCGATCGAAAAGTTTGCATTAAATTTGTTCTTTTTCAAGCTAGAGACAACACAATTCCTTTATCATGCAACATTCTAGGTGCAACTTTAAAATATCTTGTATATATTTAAATAGCAAGAAAATTTATTTTCTGAGCAAATAAAGTTGTCGACTTCGATGTTTATTTGAAAATTCATCATGAGACTTCACTTTTCAGACAATCAAGGTTGCTTTAACCTTCAAAATAACATCTGCACTGTAAAAACATATGTTTGCCAATATAAACCTGGGGGTAAAGCCAACCAAGATCAAATCAACCTTTCTAGCCGTAATGTTTCATAGATCAACATTATGTACGAATCGGTAATATTGCTGCGAATTTCGATAGCAAGGACACCAATTAATCCTTAATTACTTCTTTGAGATAAAACATTCTCCCATGTGTTCAATTATATATATTGCATGGTAACAATCGAATCAAATACATTGCCTTTTGTGAGACAGGAATCACCAAAGGCTATGGCAACTTATAGCACTTCTKTCCCTTTCACARCCACGAYAACAACTRCTGCCATGATGAATGAAATTGATAATGCACAATTCACGGCCTTGATAGTCATA